AAAAAAAAAACATTACCTCCAGTGCACAACCTAAATACCCGACCACAATACCGTCACTGGGATCGCGACTTGCAATCCCAACAGGCCAGCACCAGAAATCAGCAGCGTCCACGCCTGTCGTTGTCGACGCCAGAAATCGACAGCGTCCAATCGGCGGCCAGACCAGAAATTGGCAGCTCCACTACCAATCGACCACAGAGAACCAACCTCCAGCAATGCAGACAAACCGAAGACGACACCAACACACAGAGAACCAACTACCAATCGGCGTCAACACACAGAAAGCCTCCAACAGAGAAGGCGAAGCTCCGGCGTTGCGTACACATAGAAGTCGGACCGACGACTGGACTACACACCTACGCAACCATGGGGAACATTTGGCAGAACACCACAAAGCCTCTCAACGGTTTACAGTCGGGAAAGAAGAAAAGAGAAAAAAAAAGAAGAAGGAAGAAAAAAAATAGGCAAAAGGAAGGATTACCAAACCCTAGAAACCTGCTCTGATACCATGTAGAAAAACAGGTTTGGCATAAATCGGGAGTAGAAGTTTAGTTCCTTCTTCCCTTCTAATTTCATTATATAGAAAAGTAAAGAGTACATGTTTGGTAACTTGGTACAAGAATGGAAACACAATAAACTCTAATTTTACTCTTGCCTAATTGACTTGATTTACTTCCTTAACACAAAGTATTTAATAATTGACCCGCAGCATGTTTTGAAGTTTACAATTTAGTCCTCAAACTTTCCAAATGTCAAATTTAACTTCAAGAACTTATGAATTTTTACCGAATGCTCCATTAGCACTTCCAATTGATCTCTTGCAATCCGATTAATCTTCAATTGCTTCAAATAAACTCTAACTAAGCTTCAAATAGCCTCTTTTCATATAAATTGTATCCAAGTAGGGATTTTCCCTATAATTAACACAATTTACACAAATTAAAAAGATATTCGCTCAAATTATATATAAATAAATAAGAAGAAGAAGTCAAGATAAGCGCATAAAATACACTTATCGTATTTAAAACTTGACGTCACAGGAACTTAAATAATTATCGTGTGAAATATGGGAATATACTTTGCTTTCTTCCCTAGTTTGGAATATAAGTTGCTGTCTTCCCAAGTATGGAACCTATGTTGCTGTCATTCCAAGTTTGGAACATCTTGTGTAATATATATATGGTGACAAAGAGGTTGATTGGTGAACCATTAGTAGTATCTAAGATGGCAAACAATAAAGGGACTACATGCTCCAAGGTGCAATCGCACGAAATGTTACCTGTTCAAATTCTTGAGAAAGGAGTTTTTCGTTTTGATTGTTCTGTGCATGATAGAAATAATGCATCGCCGAGCATTTCTTTCAAAAATTCAAAACACAGGGATACTCCAATTACGAATTGTCATGTAAATCCAACCTACACTCCAACATTTGAATGTGATATGGGAGAACAAAGAGTCAATATTAAGGTAATATTATTTATCATCGTGCTTTCAGAATTTTACATACTTGGATGTTGTTAAAACATTATTCAATTTGATTCCTTAGTTTTTATAATTTTAGATATCTTAATATACTGGATCGAACTTTTTGGTGTTCTAGTTGCCATCTGGTACCTCTTTTTATGGAACTGGAGAAGTAAGTGGGCAGCTGGAGCGAACCGGAAAGAGAGTAAGCTACTTTATCCAGCATTTTTGTCACTGTGTATAATTTTATACTGTTCTTGAAGGAAATCAGTATTTTTACCATAAACAGATTTTTACTTGGAATACTGACGCATTCAACTATGATGTGGAGACAACTTCCTTGTATCAATCCCATCCTTGGATTCTAGCAGTTCTCCCTGATGGAAAAGCATTTGGGGTTCTTGCAGATACCACAAGACGATGTGAGGTACTTGTGATTTCTTGGTTATTTTGTGAGATTAATTGTTAGACAAAATAGCTTTTTAAAATTCAGGTTTTTGCTTGAGCAGATTGACTTGACTAAGGAATCAAATATAAAGATCATTGCTCCATCATCATATCCTTTGATCACATTTGGTCCATTTTCTTCACCAGCAGATGTTCTTATGTCTTTCTCCCGTGCTGTTGGTAATTACGGATCATTACATTTATCATTTCCGGTCGATCTAAATATTTTTTATGTCTCTACTTAGGGGTATTTGGGATTGTATAGAGCATAATATTTCTGATAACTAGGGGTATATTGGAATTCATAATGTTGTCTTTTCGGCTTCCTTTGTGGCAAAAATTCACAATTGACCTACTTTCATGTGCTGTTGCATAATTTAAAACCAAGACTATGCTTTTGCTGGTACACTTAGAGGTGTCAAGACGGACGGACCGGCCATGACCCGTGAAAACCGG